CAGCTGGCGGTTCAAACCCACCAGCCACTCCTCGGAAGGAAGGTTGGGCAATCCTACTTCCGTAGTGATACTGCCTCGGAAATCCAAGGAGGGGTCGCTATGAGTTGGGGCCGACTCGACGGCACATAACAACAACAACATATCTATTGCATTTCTGTGCATATAATACTGAGTAGAAACACAATGTAAAACCATTTTTGAATATGAGTTTTAAACCACTTAAAATACTGTGTGTTAAAAGTCTCTGTCATGATATGAGTTAAATCTCTTCTGGCATCACAGAGTGATTGCTCTTCTCAAATAGTGGATTGTAGTTGTTCAGGTGGTTTGCTTTGGGCTACTAACTGAAAGGTTGGTGGTTTGAACCCACCCAGTAGTGCCATAGAAGAAAGCTCTAGAGAGCAGCTTCTATAAAGATTAGCCAAGAAAACCCTATAGAATACGGCACCCCATGTTGTTACCATGAATCGGAGTATACTTGCCAGTTCCAGCAACGGGTTTCAGTTTCTTCAATTCAAGCAAGTTAATTAGGGAGAAAAACACAAAATAAATGTGACTCAATTTGCATGTTGTGTTTCTTTTTCTTTCTCTAGCATGAGGGAGGGATGTTTCTTCTTTCTTTTCCTTTCCGCAATCACTGAACATGCAGTAGTTTGACTTTAGCCCTGCATCTCCTGTATGTATATGTAGTTTCATTTAGGAATGCCCAAATGTGTCCTGGAAGAAGTGCAGCCAGAATGCTCCTTAGAAGTGAGAATGGCCAGATTGTGTCTCATCTACTTTGGGCATGTTGTCAGAAGGGACTAGTCCCTAAAGAAGGATATCATGCTTGGTAAAGTGGAGGGTTAGTGAAAAAGGGGAAGACTTTCAATGAGATGGATTGTCATAGGGGCTGCAATGATGGCCTCAAGCACAGAAAGGATTGTGAGGATGGTACACAACCAGGCAGTGTTTTGTTCTGTTGTGCATGTGGTGGTAATGAGTCGGAGCTGACTTGATAGCACCTAACAACAGCAACCACAACATTATTTGAAAAGCATTTTCAACTTAAGCTGAAGATTGGACCCCTCTGGCCAAATCAAGGACAAAGACTGATTTTGGTATCACTGGAATCATTTCTTTATTTATATCCTGTAATAAGAAAAGGAGCTCTGGTGGCATAGTGCCTAAGGCATTTGACTGCCAACCAGAAGGCTCTCAGTTCAAACCCACCAGCCACTCCTTGGAAGGAAGGTTGGGCAATCTACTTCAGTAGTGATACCACCTTGGAAACTCAAGGAGGGGTCACTATGAGTTGGATCCAACTTGACAGCAGTGTGTTGCATTGTGTTGTTGTTATAATAAGAAAAGTTTTAAAGCAAAGAATATTGTTAACATTTATTTAAAAATCTCATTTACCTAACACAACAATAAAAGTTATTACCAGCAGTTTTGTTTTGGAGTGGACCCATCACAGAAAGTCTCAAGCTAATTGCTGAGCTGTATTATTGTGAGGCAAATGAGGCAGCCATCCAGAGCCAAACACTATCCCTCTAGCCTAATTATTTACCTCAGAAATGCTCTGTTGGCCATCAGAAGAGCAAGTCTCTCTGACTATGCTATCTCAGTGCTTTGTCCAGAGTAGAATGCTCTTTGGGAGGGCTTTACCACCTATGCCACCTCCTCTGGATTACTTGAAGCTGCCTAGAGGCTGGATCATGATGCTCTGCTGGATGTGCTGTCATCAACTACTGAAGTCTGCTGCCATAGGCTAGGGGCAGGAATCATAGCACTCTTGACAAGGTTGTGTTGTTGCTAGCAGCTATCAGTTTATTCTTAACTCATGGTGACCCCATCTGCATTTGCTATAGGGCTGTTGTGACCTACAGAGTTTCCACTGGCTGATTTTTGGAAGTAGATCACCAAGCCTTCTTCCTAGTTCATCTTAGTCTGGAAGTTTTGCCAAAACCTGTTCATTATCATAGCAAACACACACCTCCACTAACAGATAAGTGGTGGCTGTGTGTGAGGGGCATTGGCCAGGAATCAAACCTGAGTGTCCCACAGAGAAGGTGAGAATTCCACCACTGAACTGCCACTGCTTTGGAAAAGCAAAATGTGGTATCAGAATATCAAGGTCAGAGTCACAACTTGGCCCTTATTAGTTGTGTGATATCTTGGGCAAGTTACCCAGTCAGCAACTTCAGTTCTTGAGTCTATAAGCTGAGGATGATAAAAAATTGTCATGAAAATTAAAATGAATTGATATGACACCTAAAAAATAATAAACTATAAAACCAAAACCAAACCCACTGCTACTGAGTCAATTCTGACTCATAGCAACCCCATGGGGTTTCCAAGACTGTAAATCTTTATGGAAACCAACTGCCTCATCTTTCTCCCATGGAGCACCTAGTGGGTATGAACCATTAACCTTTTGGTTAGCAGCCAAATGTCTTACCACAGCACCACCAGAGCTCCTTAAGTTTTTGTTATTACTGGGGTTTTTTGTTTGTTTGGCCTGTCTCAATCTAGTGTTTCCCTCCTTTAAACTCATGGTATCTTAGTATGTATGTCTCTCTCTTGACCGTTGCAGATTACCTGTCATGTCATATTACTGTAGTGTATTATTTCACTGTATTTTACCTTTCTATACCTCCCACTCTTTATAGCCCATGCCTCTCCTATTGTAGATGATCTGTAAGTATCTGTTTATTTGATGAATGTAAACATTATTAACAGTATTTTGAAATTCCAAATGTCAGGCAGATGAGTAGTAATTTTTTATTTGAAAGGATATACTTTATCAGATTATTAGTTTATGTTTATAGGGTTCATAGATTTTTACAGGGTTTACTGAACGGTAGGCCCTGGCCATAGGGAGCCCTTGTGGTACAGTTGTTAACTGCTCACTTGATAATAGAAAGGTTGGCAGTTCAAACCCACCAACCATTCTGCAGGAGAAAGACGAGGCAGTCTGCTTCCAAATATTTACAGCTTTAGAGACCCTATGGGGCAGTTTTACTCTGTCATATAGGGTTGCTAAGGAGCTCTGGTGGTATAGTGGATAAGGCATTTGGCTGCTAATAGAAAGGTCAGTGGTTCAAACCCACTAGCCACTCTTTGGAAGGAAGATGGGGCAATCTACTTCTGTAAAGATTTACAGCCTCAGAAACCCAATGGGGGTCACTGTGAGTTGGAATTGACTCGATAGCAGTAAGTTTGTTTGTTTTTTTTATAGTGTTGCTATGTGTGGGGATCAACTCGACAACAATAGTTTTAGGCCCTGACCATAGATAGCATCAAGCTTTCGGGAATAAAAGTCTAGCACGCTCTCCACTATATAATGCTTTTTAAATCCAGCTCTCCCAAGAGCTGACTGTGTTTTTACATAAATAATTTCTTCCAGTTCTTGGCTTTCTGCTTTTCCCGGCAAGGACAATGTCACTGCTGCCAAGTTATATAAATGTACATGTCTCTTCTCTTTGTGGTGACAGGCACACCTTATCGTCCTGAGTAAACACCCCTCTCAAGAGGAGGCAGCTGACTCCGCACACTTTGTGGCCCAGGCCGCCGTCAAGTCCAGGAGACCCAAGCACCAGGGTGAGAACCAGCCTTCCAAGGGGAAAGGCCTTGCCTGCTCTCTGTGGCTGTGAGCTAGCTGTCTTCCTAGAGGGAGGGTAGAAAGAGCTGTCCTCTGGGCCCTGTTGTTCTGTCCTCTGCAGCTGTGACCCTGTTTGTTCCCCAGAATCTTTTGGTTTATATCCCTGTGTAGTTTTCCTCCAGTCTTTTACTTTTAAATATGTCCAGTCTTCATCCAAACATAGCTATTACAAGTCCCAGAGAATTTGTGCTGGGCTTACAGGGAAATCTGTTGTGCTTTCAAAGGTGATCTATTTTTAAAGATTGTTGTGGAGCTACTGTGGCAACAGCAGAGTTGTCATGTTAGAGTACCACCCCAGACTCTCACAGGGCCAACCTTTCAATCAGGATGAACTTACACCATTTCAGGATCCCAGAAGGAATTTACCATCTATGACTCTTATGGTTTTCTTAGGCCCATGTAATAGAGCAGTGTGGTTCAAGAATTCCTTAATCCATCACCTTGGGCTCAGGGCATACAGTATGCCTCTTTTGACAGAGAACACACATTATAGTGACTTTTTTTAGTCAGAACATTCAGAAACAGAGTACAGAAGAGCTAGAGGGTGTATTCCAAAGTGTCAGATAAAAATACATACTGAGTAAAAGGAGGTCCAATGTTCCAGAAAGCATAAAATAGGTATCTGGAAGGCTTGGGATTTGGGTTCAGGAAGCAGGAGTTGGGCCAAGAGGAAGAGGCCTGGCACATGGGAGAAGCTAAAGGGGTTCTCCATGAGCAAAATGGTCTGCAGAGATCCCTGGGGCCAGGTGGATCCTTGGTACAGGGACAAGCTAGGGAAGGAGTTGCCAGTGTTCATCTATCTGTCCATCCCACCTTGTGGGTGTGTCATTCTGGCTTGGAGTTGTTAGCACCAAGAGCTGGAGGAGCCTGTCTACGGATGATAAGAAGAGTCAGGGGACCTTTCTGGTTCTTCCTTCCTAGAATGCTCTACATGTAATAACCAGGTTTACATGAAATCAAACGTGCTTGAACTGTTGAACGTAAAACAAATTTGCTTTGTAAATTTGTACCCAAAGCACAATAAAATAAAAATAAAAATAATCAGGTTTACCTTCAAAAATAATTTTTAAAAAAAACCAAACTTTTGACCAGCACCTTGGTGCCTAAAATTCTTTTCATAGGGGAAGAACCTTCCATTCCAGAGCTATTAATAAAACAGTGAAAATGGATGCTTGAAAGAAAGCCTAGAATAGCAGGAATCACTCATCTAAATGTCTGAAGAAGCCAAACAAGCAACATGAGTGAAGCAGTAGCAGCAGGAAGCATAATTAGACATGGCAGCTAACTGCTGGCATGAGAAAGGCAAAACAGAGTGGTAGGAACTATGGCAAAGTGGAGGCCCTGTACCCTGTCAAAAGTGGGCAGCTGCAGCTCAGCTTCAACCAGTGCTACCAATGGAACACAGGCTTATACGAGCAGATATTCTCCTTTTTTCAGGAGACGGCAGAAATCTAGATTTGTATGTGAAATCTCCCTTTCATAAGTGATAGTAACTCAAAAATGGCTAGATCCATAATTTCTCACCTAAAGAACAGAGTCTGAACTGGAGAGTTCTGAGCCTTTAAACTGCTAGGATAGAGAGCAGGGGAATCCCCTAGGTAATACCAACCAGGTAGCCACAGTTGAGGCCAAAGGCCAACTTTGTCTAGTCGTTTAGATTTGTACCAACATATTCTAGTACTCCCACATACTCTTGTTGCGTGAATTGGCTCAGGATGACTAGAAATTGTGCCTAAAATGTCCCATGGCTGTAAACTTAGGCCAAAGCAACACACAAAAACACATTGCTGTTGAATCAGGTCTGACTCATAGCAACTCCTCCTTGGATTTCCGAGGCGGTATCACTATGGAAGTAGATTGCCCAAGCAGATTCCATAAATCTACTTTCCATGATTTGTAGAATCAGAGACAATCCAAGTTGAATTATATAACAAAAACTTTCCCAGTCTAAGTATTGCTTCCCCTATAAAATGATGATGATAATAATACTTGCTTGATACAGGTGTTCTAAGAATTAAATTACCTGACAATAATTAATAATAGCTAGTGCTTACAATTATGTGTACTATGTGGTTTTAACTGTATTACATTTATTAACTCAATTCTCACAACAGCCTTGTGGTTGTTATGTTTGTGTGTCAGCTTGGCTGGGCCTGGTTGAATGGTTGGGCAGTTGGTGGTAGTTATTCCCCATGATGGTGGGATCTTCCACAAGCAGCTGAGTAGCTGCTTTGGGTATGTGGTCTGCTTCCCATATATAAGAACCAGCTTTGGGAATGGTCTCTAACCTATGGCATGCTTGGACCGTGCATGTAGCCGTGTTGTTGTTCAGCAGCCTACCCTACTCTGCCAACCTTGGGACTTACAGTGGACTTGAATTAATGGCCTGCCATGTGGTTTGGTAATATCGGGACTGTGCCTTTTTATTTGTCGATCTTGGGCTTGTTAGCCTCAGCAGCCAGTAGCTACTGAGTGAAGAGATGCCTCTAGCTTCAGTGGGCTGGGAGCAAGACGCAGAGCTGAAGCCCAAGGTGGAGGGGCTTTCACATAGCCCCTAGAGCCTGGCACTTTGAACTTGGACCTGTAGCCTCCCAAACTGTAAGAGAATAAACTCCTGTTTGTTCAGGCCATCCCATTTGTGGTATATTCTTGTCAGAGTGACACTGTCGTGTTGTTGTTGTTGTTGTTGTGTGCCGTCGAGTTGGAACCAACTCATAGCAACCCCTCCTTGGGTTTCTGAGGCAGTATCACTACAGACGTAGATTGCCCAAACTTCCTTCTGAGGAGTGGCTTGTGGGTTTGAATCTTCAGCCTTCTAGTTAGCAATCAAGTGTCTTAGACACTATACTACCAGAGCTCCCAGAGTGGCATGAGGTAATAAGGTAGGTGAAATTATCCCACTTTTTTAGATGGAACTGAGGCCTAGACAAGTACTTGAGTAATTTCTTTTAGAAGATCAACACCAGGCTGGTCCCTATGAGGTGGAGGTTAAAGATGTCCCAAATGTCTAACTTTTCCAAACTGCCTGGCCACTCCATCATCTCTGACATCAACTCCTCCTCCTCCCCTCAAAAATCTCCCTCCTGTCTTAGGGTTCCATAGTTCACTGTAACGTCTCACAGAACTCACAAACTCCCAAGGAAACGGCTCATATGGTGGTAGTGGAGGCTGGCAGGCTGGCAACTCCCAGGTCTGTGGGTAGGTCTGGAGGATTCTCCCAACTTACGTGGTTGCAGGGGTTGGTGAAACCAAATCGCAGGTCAGATGATAGCTGCTTTCTCAAGTCAGGGGTTAGTTGATAACAAACCAAAAGCAGAACCAGAGCAAGAGAGCGAACTTTCCCAGAACATTCCTATATATACCCTCAAGGAAGCTAAGGGTGGTGACTTAAGTCACACCCTCCAGCAAGGTGGGACTCAAGATATATCCCACCCTACACAGGGTAGGAGCTCTGGTAGCATAGTGCCTAAGGCACTTGACTGCTCACCAGAAGGCTGGCGGTTCAAACCCACCAGCCACTCCTCGGAAGGAAGGTTGGGCAATCCTACTTCCGTAGTGATACTGCCTCGGAAACTCAAGGAGGGGTCGCTATGAGTCGGGGCTGACTCGACAGCAAACAACAACAACAACAACACACAGGGATGGGGACTAGGATTTACAATACATCACAAAATGGAGGACAATGGCTAGAAGGGCCATATTAAGCAATTTACTGCACTGCAACAGGTTAGGTAATTTGACCAAGTCCCATATCCAGTGAGTGGCAGAGATTTGAGCCCAGGCAGCTGGCCCTGGAGGTTCTTTACTATGATGCTGTATTATGGATGCTGGTACTACACATGTCCCCTTTCCTTCCTCACCCCTTGCCCCTTAGGCCCACCAAAGAGTCTGTGGAGTTTGGGACAGATGAGGGATATGAGAGAGCAAAGGGAGCCTGGACAGAAAAGTTTGGAATGCCAATGGGAATGGGTCAGGGCCTGGAGCCTGCATGGAGTATTGGCTCAGTTCTGCCATGTCTTTCAGCAGCTCAGGGCATTGGGTGACCTGCACCCAGGAAGAAGACCTGCCAGTGAGAGTTCGAAATGTATGAGGAGTCAAATAATCCAATTTGATAATGGGCAGAGGACATAAACAAACACTTCACCAAAGAAGACATTCAGGCACCTAACAAACACATGAAGAAATGTTCACAATCATTAGCCATAAGAGAGATGCCAATGCACATAAGCAACTCACATCCTTCCATATATTTTAAATCATCTCTAGAATACTTAGTCTTTGAAGACTAAGGTGCACCTAACCCAAGCCATGGTGTTTTCAATATACTCATAGCATGTGAGAGCTGGATAATGAATAAGGAAGACCAAAGAAGAGTTGATGCTTTTGAGTTGTGGTGTTGGGAAGAACACTGAAAGTACCATGGATTGCCAGAAGAACTAACAAATCTGTCCTGGAAGAAGTGCAGCCAGATTTCTCCTTGGAAGCAAGAATGGCCCGACTTTGTCTTACCTACTTTGGTCATGTTGTCAGAAAGGACCATTCCCTGGAGGAGGATATCATGCTTGGTAAAGTGGAGGGTCCGTGAAAAAGAGGAGAACCCTCAACAAGATGGATTGATACAGTGGCTGCAACAGTGGACTCAGGTATTAGCAAGGATTGTGAGGCTGGTGCAGGACCAAGCAGTGTTTCATTCTGTTGTACATAGGGTTGCCATGAGTCAGAATCAACTCTACAGCACCTAACAACAACAGAATACTTATAATACTTAATACAACATAAATAGCACTTTACACTCCCAATTAGCCTTTGGGGGATTGCTTTGACCACTTCATTGCTTTTTAGGAGCCTTTGTTTCACAGAAACAAAGGGTGCACACAGTGCAAATAACAAATGAAGGAGATGCAAGGTGAGCAATGTTCAAAATTATGAGTGCGGAGAG